AGTAGATCTTCTGAGACCGGAATCTCCCAAGGTTCCTCCATCGTCAACCTCTTCAGAAGAGGAAACCAAGGACATCTTGGCTAGAAGGGAATTACTGCAATCACTTTGCAACGTTCTCTGGAAATCTTCCTCAGAACAGCATGAATGAGAGGAACGGGGGGAAAGACATACGCCAGATGAAAGGGCCATTTCATTGACAGGGCATCTTGATTCAGTGCCTTCGGATGGAATCTCCTTGATACAAAACAAGGAACTTGAGCGTTCTGAGCCGTAGCCATGAGATCCACTTGGGGAAGACCCCACTGCTGGACCAATTGCTGAAACACTAGTCTGGAAAGGTGCCATTCTGTGGCTTCCACCTGGTGTCTGCTTAGGAAGTCCGCCAAGACATTCTCCTTTCCTGGAAGATAGACAGCACGTAGGCTTTCCACATGTATTTGTGCCCACGTCATGATTGCTGTCACTTCTTTCATCAGTGCGACACTCCTGGTGCCCCCTTGATGGTTGATATAGGCGGCAGCCGCCCTGTTGTCCACTCTCAATTTCACACAGGCCCCCTTGATCAGGTGCTGAAAATGGAGAAGTGCCATAAATGTCGCTCTCAACTCCCTTATATTCGAAAGCACGTACTGAGCCCTCAGAGGCCATTCTGCTTGGATGAAGGAATTTCCCAGATGTGCTCCCCATCCGAACTGAGTGGCATCTGTTGTGATGACTACCCAGTCAATTTCCTTCAAAGGAAAACCTCTGGAAATGTTTTCCTCTTTCAGCCACCAACGAAGCTTCCTTTTCTGGTCGAGAGGAATGTGGTTCTTTCTTTCCCAGTCCTCTGAGCTGGTTTTGAAGTTTCTCAGGAGATACTGTTGAAGCGGACGTAGATTACTATAGACCTGGTCAGATGGGCGTAATGCAGAGGTCAGGGTACCCAGGAGCTTCATAAACTGCCTTGCGGAAGCAGAAGCCTCTTGAATAAAGACTTAAATATGATTCTGCAGTGCCAACTTTCTCTCTTGGGCAAGAGATACCATCGCCATGAGGGTATTGAAGTTTGCTCCTAAGAACACCAGCTTCCTTGTTGGTTGTAGATGACTCTTTTCGTGGTTGATGAGCCACCCAAACAGAGAGTGAGTCTCGAGGACCAGATGTCTGTGTCGGAGTATGATCTCGAAGTCTGAAGCCACTACCAGGATGTCGTCGAGGTAGTGGTAAATGGCAACATCCATCTTCCTCAGGAAAGCAATCACCGTGACCAGTTTCTTCGAGAAGGTCCTCGGGGCTGTACTTATCCCAAAGGGAAGAGCCTGAAACTGGAAGTGCTCCTTTTTTACACAGAATCAGAGAAACTTATGATGTCTGTCTGTGACAGGAACATGGAAGTATGCATCTCTTAGATCAGTTGAGATTAACCAGTCTCTGTGGTGTATCACGGGGATGATGGAACGGATGGATTCCATGCAAACCCTTCTTATCCTTAAGAAGAGATTGAGCTGGTGTAGGCCTAGAATAGGCCTCCACTTTCCTCCTGGTTTCTTTACCAAAAACAGGGGAGAATAGAACCACTCTTTTATCCACGGGTTCCTTGAGAGAAGCATTACTATCAATAGGCAGAGTTGATCTTTTTGCCACTTTAATAATCGGAGCATCAATCTTTGGGACCGCCGTCCACATTCTTGAATCCTCCTCTTTAATAGGGTACAATTTTGACAATTTGCCCTGACTTGTAATCCTTTTTCCAGGAGTATTCCACTCTGAGCGAATCAGTTCCTTAATGGATCTGTGCACTGGAAAGGAAGGTTTCCTCTTGTGGAGATCTCCGAAATGTCTATCAGAAGTTGAAACTTCCTTGACTTCTTCTGGCAAATCCAAAGTCTTTCTGACTGCCCTGATCAGATGCTCCATAGCCTTAGCGTGTAATGAGCACGGTTGTTCCGTGAACTCTTCCTCACTAGAAGAGATAAGCTCCAATTCTAAGGAACCAGCAGCGTGTCTGAAGTCTTCTTCAGATAGGTCGGATTCTCGGCCAAAGCTCTTAGATCTGGGTCTTTTACCTCTAATGGATTCTGAAATCCCTTCCGCCACAACTTGCTTAATCCAATAAGCTATGTCCTGAGCTAAGGATGTGGAGGCTTGAGGTGACCTGCGATGTTCCGACTCACCTGCGACCATGGATAAGCACTTGCGGCATAGCCTGCAGTTATCCAAAGGCCCTGCACCACATCCAAGGCAGGCCGCCAGTTTGTCCTCCTCTTGGTGGAGGTCTAGGGCCAGAGCAGTCTTGAGGGCTGTAAAACACATAAGTCAACCCTCCATGCACTCTTTTTAATCGTAATAAATAGTGAAAAAAAAATGTAATGCTCACCTATGACCTATTGTAGATCTTGCCGACTTAGCAGATGGAGATGCTGGATCCATCATAATAGAAGGGCTATATAACAAAGGTTGTCACAATGAACTTCATGCAGCCAAACTGAACAGCATTATGTATTATAGATTAAAACATAATACCTGCAGAGAATGGATGTGGCACTAGAGAGCACTGTATGACAGAGGGAAATGAAAGCACTAGCTTATTTTGCAGAAATACCGCCATTTTAAAATTTCCTTCTCTGTGCCTTTAAGAAGGCGCACATGCGCCAATTGGCCGCAAGTCCGCAGCTTCGCCATCTTAGATGAGGGCAAATATGCCGAAAATCCGGCCGTGGCCGTTGCGCATGCGCGGGCGTCTTACCGGATGGATGATCGTCTGATCGAGGTCTGGAGGCTTAATCCTGGCGAACACAGGCTCCAGGTGCCAGGGGAACTACCCACCATGGCTCCCAGGGGTTCCCAATTCGTGCAAAGAAAGGGCTACATATGCCTGGGCTCATCATAGCAGCATGATCAGGTGAGCATAAGGAAAAACTTTAACCCTTAGAAAATCAGGGAGAGAAAATAACAACGGTCCTAGGGCTATGAGGACAGGAAAAAAAAAGACTGAGGTGTGATGGCTGATGGGGTTCCTATTATACCAGGGGAAGGTATGCTTAAAGGACCACTCTAGGCACCCAGACCACTTCAGCTTAATGAAGTGGTCTGGGTGCCAGGTCCAGCTAGGGTTAACCCATTTTATTTATAAACATAGCAAGCCCATTCCTTCAGTGAGCAAGCCTGATCGTCTGCAAAGATAGCCTTCTGGAAAGCCACATTATATTTTCTTGTATTTATATCTTGTCTGTTATGCTAAAGTGTAGTTTTGCTAGCCCTGTAGGTAATTGTTTTATTCACCTATATGCATTCCTCTATTTCCCCTCTGCTTTGTGACTGACCTCTGACCCCTCCCTTTTCTTATTGATATGTTTGGTTTTATTTGAATATCCATCTCTTCATCTCTGTACCTAGATACATTTCCCCCTCCCTTACCTTTATTGCAAGCTCTCTGACCCTCACATCTCTTTATTCAACAGCCTGATTCCCCAACTTTGCAAGCCCATTCCTTAAAGGACCACTCTAGGCACCCAGACCACTTCAGCTTAATGAAGTGGTCTGGGTGCCAGGTCCAGCTAGGTTTAAACTGCTATATTTATGAATGGGTTAAGCCTTCCCCTATTTCCTCTAGTGGCTGTCTCATTGACAGCCACTAGAGGCGCTTGCATGCTTCTCACTGTGATTTTCACAGTGAGAGCACGCCAGCGTCCATAGGAAAGCATTATGAATGCTTTCCTGTGTGACCGGCTGAATGCGCGCGCAGCTCTTGCCGCGCATGCGCATTCAGCCCAGGAGGAGGAACGGAGGAGGATCGGAGGAGAGCTCCCCGCCCAGCGCTGGAAAAAGGTAAGTTTATACCCCTTTCCCCCTTCCAGAGCCGGGCGGGAGGGGGTCCCTGAAGGTGGGGGCACCCTCAGGGCACTATAGTAACAGGAAAACGAGTATGTTTTCCTGGCACTATAGTGGTCCTTTAAGTGAGCAAGCCTGATGCCCAGTCTCCCACCCCATGCTCATTATTACATTAAAATGTAGGTGTGATAGACAATCTATAAGTTAGGTTAAAAACAAAACTGCCTCTTATTAGTACACTCCTGCACTTTCTTAACCCATAAAACACATTCACCTGCTCTTGATATTCCAATTATCTCCAATGTTTATTTTTCACAGTTTAGCAATAATCTGTTTTCTCCTCCTCTTTATTTCCTCAGTCTCCCTCACTATAAAAATCTCTCCTTACACCCACTTCGCTCATCCCCCCCAACCACATTTACATATGCCCTTCTCTGCGACACTCCCCCTCTCATCTCATGCCTTACACTCATTTTTCTACTCTCTCACTCCAACCCACAATCGATCTCATCCTAGACCCCATGCATACAAAACCCATTCACACCTCCTGTCACTTTCTCTCCTCCTACTTCTCGCAGCTGGTGATGTCTCTCCCAATCCAGGGCCCTTCACCTTCTTTACACACACTAAGACAACCAGAAACCCCACAAACCTCATCACAATACCCTGCCCTTTAACCTCACTTACCAAAATTAATTGTGCACTCTGAAATGCCCGCTCCATCTGCAGTAATTTAAAATCAACAACCATACACAACTTTTTCATCTCAAACTCACTCACACTGCTTGCACTTACAGAGACCTGGCTGTCCCCCTCTGATAGCACTACTCCTGCCTCTTTTTGTTTTGGTGGGCTACAATTCTCTCACACTCCCAGACTCAACTGTAAAGGCACCCTTCTCTCCCTTCAATGTACCTCTCAACCAATCATAACTCCCCCTGTCCTATCCTTTTCTTCTTTTGAAGTTCACACTGTCCGCCTATTTAACCCCTTAAGGACCAAACTTCTGGAATAAAAGGGCATCATGACATGCCATGTGTCCTTAAGGGGTTAAACCCACTCCTGTGCTGTTGGAGAAAGTCTCACTGTGCATCTGACTTTCTCCACTATAAATTTATGCTGAGCTCATACAGCTTGGCTCTTTCCTCTGCAAAAATTAATTACTTCAATACCCTCATAACCACACTCTCCTGCGAACCCAAACGACTATTTCACACATTTAACTCTCTTCTTCACCCTGCTGTTCCTCCTCCACCTACTAACTTGACCGCCTCAGACTTTGCAACTCACTTCACTGACAAGATCTCTACAATCAGAGAAGAGATCTCATCTTTCTTCTTCCCCTAACTTCACTCCCTCTGCTGTTCTATGTTCATTCACACCCGCTACATTGGAAAAGGTTTCTGCTCTGCTCCAGTCCTCCCGCCCCACCACCTGCTCCCTAGATCCAATTCCCTCGCATCTCATCCGTACTCTGTCTTCTTCTCTTTCTCCACCTCTCACTAAAATTCTCAATCTCTCTCCTTTGATATATTTCCATTGTCCTTCAAACAAGCAACTGTAACCCCAATTCTAAAGAAGCCCAATCTTGACCCTAACTCCCCATCCAACTATTGTCCTATCTCGCTACTGCCTTTTGCATCAAAGATCCTTGAAAAACATTGTGTATGCGAGATTTACAGACTTCCTCGAGTCCAACTCTCTGCTAGACCCACTTCAGTCTGGTTTCCGCGCTAAGCACTCTGTGGAATGATTATATTGTGAAAACTATCAGGACTATGGCTTAGCCGTTGACATGTTTAGTGGCAGCAGGGATAGCTGAACGTTTTGATAGAAGATTTGTGTAGGTGGGCCTGAAAATAAGGGAGTGGTGGCAGTTTAGAAATCATGTCCTGATTTTTCAGCTTTTGCCAGCTCCCACTCTAACTTTGCCATTCATTCCTATGGGACAAATTTCGCCACAAGAACGACGATATTCCGTGAACCATTCGGCGAAACGTTCCACAAAGTAATAGCAATCCGATCGGGAACAATCTGCTAGTTTTGGTAAATTTTTGTCTATGTAGTGTAAAAACTGTGGGAGGAGTTAGGGTGGCAAATTTGGCTATAATAAGAATAAGAAATATGTGAGATAACATTAAGTGGTCTTGCTATGCAAGAACACTTAATAAGGTCCTTCCCATAGGAAAGCATTTAATCAATGCTTTCCTATAGGGATTTTACAGACGCTGAATGTCCTGGAGTGAGGACACTCAGTATTGTTTGAGGACTCGAGTCCACTATAATCCAAGAAGTGCCTCTATTGGCTGTCTAGTAGACAGGCCCTATAAGCCGTTTTAGTCCTGCAAGGTAAGTATTGCAGTTTCCCCAAAATTGCTAGACTAAGGGGGACAGGGACAGTGCACCCAGACCACTTCAATGAGATGAAGTGGTCTGGGGTGCCTATAGTGCCCTTTCAAGTATTGACACATTTTATGTAGCCATTTCGCTACCAAATATTGTAGTTATTTTTGGATTTTAGAACACACAAATAACAAGGTTTTGTTTGTGTATTTTGTAAACCTGATGTAAGCTACTCCTGTACAAAGCCTCATATTGGTTCTACCAGGTCCATGGCATTCAGGGAGAATGGACATGTAGAGGAAGTTCGGATATATTGTGTAAATGTGGACAGTTTGTCTTGAGAAAGTCCTGGGTTCAGGTCTAAAAATTTGATGATTCTCGATGTGATGTAGTTCATGGAATAAAAGTGATCTATTCTTGATTTAAAGTCTTGTGAGTGCGCACTTCCTGGCATTTTTTTTGTTATACATCTCTATCTCAAATTGAAGATTGGGTCTGCCTCGGTCCCCGATCTGCCTGCTTACATCAGATACGATTGTGAGCCATCCACAATGCTTTCCCATATAATTGACTGAAAGTGTCAAAGAGGCAGATCAAGGGCAGAACCAGCACAAGTCAAACACAGCCCTGGCCAATCATCTAATTTTCTCTGAAAAAAGACAGTGTTTACTGCAAAATGCCTAATGGGAATGATTCTACTCACCAGAACAAATAAAATAAGCTGTAGTTGTTTTGGTGACTATAGTGTCCATTTAAAAATATTCCAGAAATTAATACTATTTGCACACAGACATGATATTTTGAGCTTAATCAGGTTATCAGTTTTTCACTTCTCGCCCCTGCCATGTTTGTATTGCTGTATATTAACACTTTTCTACTCCACCCCCTCCTCATGTCAGACAGTGTTTGAAAAGGGGGGTTTAGGGTTGGGAGGGTGAGTACACGAGAAGAATCCTGTCATGTGCTAAAAGGTGGCATGTGGTGTCCCTCCCTCCTACTTAAACTCTATGAAATTATATTAAAGAGTTTTAAAGTGACAGTTATCCTTTAAAGACAGAATAAGTCAGTCATTGGTCCTAAAGGAATTAAAAGACCACATCACTATATTGGCTTTGTGATATGTAAATAAAGCTCTCTCCCCTCAGATTGCCTGTCCAAAGCTACTGCAATAAATTATGGCTCTCTCCAAATTCCCCTTGCAGGCACTGCTTTCCCTAAAACGTAAAGTGATATTACAGGCACTCAGACCACTTGAGCTCACTAAAGTGGTCTGGGTGCACTGTCCCAGGTCCCTTAACTCTGCAAAGCTAATTATTGCAGTTTTCAAGAGGGAGCGGTGTGGTGAGTGGATACTACTCATTTAGAAATTTTTATGGCAAAAAACTAATTTTTACTTACCGTCAATTCTTTTCTTCTTAATAGGGTGGCAGTAACTTCTGGGGTTTTGCTCCTCCCTGTGGACAAGACACCTAACAAGTAATTTAAGATCAAAAGACCCTCCCCCTTGCCCTACAAAATGATGTACCACAAAACCTACCCCAGTACGTGACAATAAAAAGAAACAGAACAAAATATATACTGCAAAAATTCTTTAATAAAGAGGGAGGGAAGTAGTACTGCCACCATATTAAGAAAAAAAAGAATTTACGGTAAGTAAAAATTTCTGCTTTTTCTGTAATATAATGGCAGTAACTTCTGGGATATAGCAAGATCCCCATCTGGGCGGGACTCAGGCTACCACAGCTTGTAACACCTTATGCCCAAAGGCTGCTTCAAAGGCTGAGAATATGTCTAGCCAATAGTGCTTGATAAAAGTGTTAAAAGATGACCAGCATGCAGCTTTGCAGATGACCTCTGGAGATGCCATTGCTCAGGTAGAATGGGCCTTAAGTGTAGCTGGAGACGGAAGACCTGCTATAGAATACGCCAATTCTATAGCTTGAATGAGCCAACGGGATAATGTACTGTGGGAAGCTACATGCCCCTTGAGGAGACCCTGAAAATTAATAGATGATCCGAAAATCTGAATTCTTTCGTTCTGGCTAGATATACAAATAAAGCTCTTCTGACGTCCAATTTCTGCCATTTGAGCTCTTGAGGAGATGAAGCATCGCTATAAAATGAAGGTAAAATAATCGGCCGATTAATAGTCTTTGAAGATAACACTTTAGGTAGAAAAGACGGTCTTGGATAAAGAACAACCTTGTCTTTGTGAAAAATGGTGAATTTATCCGAGGAGGACAGAGCGTGAAGTTCTCCCACTCTTTTAGCCGACGTGATGGCTACCAAAAATGAAACTTTAAGAGACAACATTTTTAATGGAACTTCCTCCAAAGGTTCAAAACGGATGAACACTAAGAGCTTGTAGGACCAGGGCTAAATCCCAAGCTGGAAACACCGATCGCCTTGGCGGTCGTTTCAGGCTGATGGACCTGAAAAAAACTGCTGATAAAACCATGGAGTCCAAATCCTTAATTAGAAAAAAATAATTAAGGCTGATATTTGAACTTTGAGCGTGGAGACTCCCAGACCAGCTGCAAAACCGTCTCGTAAAAAATGAAGAATGTTATCGATGGATGGATGTAAAACCGGGCACGGGTGTTCTTTACACCAGTGAAGAAACAGACCAAATCCTAAAGTATATCTTAGACGTAGACTTCCTAGTAGCGTGGAGCAAGACCGCTATTCTGTCTTCTTGTAAACCTTGGTTACGAAGGATTAGCCTTGCAGTAGCCAAGCCGTCAACCTGAATATTTCCAGAACTTTCAAGGGCAGGTTCCTGTTCACAATGAGGAAGTTTGATCTGGGAAGTTCCCAATGATTGAGGGCCATATTCTTTACAGCCGAAAACCAGACTCTGTTTGGCCAATATGGGATTATTGCCAATACTCTTGCTCTGTCTGTTCGTATCTTGAGAAGGACCTTTGGGATTAAAGGCAGAGGTGGAAACACGTAAGCCACACGGAAGTTCCACTATCGATAAAGCGTCTATCCAATTGGATTGATCTGTTCTGTATAGGGAGGCGAAATTGTAAACCTTTTTGTTTGAAGCTCTTGCCATCAAGTCTACTTCCGGAACTCTGAATCTTTCTGTCAGGATTCTGAAAATTTCCGGGTTCAAAGTCCATTCTTTTTGATCCCACTTCCCTCTGCTTAGATTGTCTGCTATTATATTGGCGCTGCCTCTTATGTTAACGGCTGAGATGTCGTCCAGATTTCTTTGTGACCACTCCATAATTTCTGCACAAAGACTGTAAAGCTTCTTTACTTTGGTTCCTCCTTGGCGATTGATATATGAGACTACTGTACGATTGTCTGATTGGATCTTCACCGCTCTTTGTAGTAACCAAGGCCTGAAGTTATGTAGAGCATAAAGAATTAATAATTCCCTGAAGTTTGCGGATTCCTTCAAATCCCTGAATGACCATCTTCCTTGGAACATGGTGGAGCCTAGATGAGCTCCCCAACCTGTCCTTGAAGCGTCTATAGTGACTTATCCAGTCTTTTGGACAAAAAGACAATCCTCCTGAAAGGCACTGAGGTTTTCCACCAAGTAAGCGGAGTCTTTACTTGAAGGGGATAACAAGAAATGTGTCTCTAAATCTTCCTCCATTTTTTGAACAGGTAGTCAGGATGTTCCATTGTAGGGGTCTGACCTCTGATCTTGCCCATTTGACTGCTGGAAAGGTGGCCGTTAGAAGGCCCAAAACACCCATGGCCTGTATGAAGGAACAACTTTTCATCCTTTGGAGATTGGAAATCGCCTCTCAGATTTTCCTCCTTTTTCGTTTGGGAAGATAAATCAATATGGAGACTGAATTGATCTTGATTCCAAGAAACCATTTCTCTTGTTGGGATGAGAACTGACTTTAGGTTTAAGATCTAGCCATGGTTTTGAAGAACTCTGATAGTGACCTGCAGGTCCTTGCGCAGCTGTTCTTCTGTATGTGCCATGAGAAGCCAGTCATCCAAATAAGGCATCATTGATATTTCCAATTCCCTCAAATGAGCGGTCAGAGGAGTCAGGATCTTTGTAAATATCCTTGGGGCGGATGACAGACCAAACGGCAGAGCCCTGAACTGGAAATGAACGGTAGATCTTCCTTTTTTTTTTTATTGCAAATCTTAGAAATTGTCTTGAAGCGGTAGCAATCGGAACA